CATCTTTGGGGGGGTCTGCACCGCTCCCCCCCGAGGGTGCCCTTTTTGGAGGGGGGGGTCCCTGCACCGCCTCTCCCGGACGGGTCTTTCCTGCGGTCCCCGTCTGGAGGGGCCTGATTGGATTGGGGGAGTCGCTGTCCCCTCATCACCCCCCCGGGGTGCAGAGCTCGACCCCCAACCAGTTCCCTCTCTGCTCTGGAGCTGCCCCCCACCCCAGTGGCCATGTTGGGGTCCATAAGCACCCCCCCCGGCTCTGCTGGAGCGAGGATGGAGCTGGGGGGGTACGGGAGGGGGGGGACCCAGCCCCGCTCCAAGCTCCGGGCGGGGCGGGATCCAAGCCCCACGATCCCGCTGGAATGGGAGGCTGGGGGTGCTCCGGACACCACTCCATCCTTTGGGGGGGCTATGGGTGCCGAAGACCCCCCTGTGAAGGGGCTGCTGCCCCCCCAGCCATGCTCTTCTCAATGAGGGCCCTCAAGGTCACTGCAGGGTCCCCTGCCTGTCCCCCTGCCCCACTGCTCTCCCTGGCTCCCGGCCCCACTTGGGGGGCGCTGCGGGACCCCGAGGCACCGGGGCACCGGGGTGGGGGGGTCCCAGCCACCTGCAGCCCCCGGCTCTCCCCGGGGCTCCGGCACCAGCCGGAGGCATCAAATATTAACGGAGCAGCCGGAGGAGCTGGAAATATCCCTCCCGCTCGGGAGCTGACCCAGATCCAGTCGGCTCCGGGCCCGGCGCCCCATCCCCACCCGCAGGCTCTGCCCCTCCTGCTGTGCGCTGGAGATATATATATCGCCTATATATTATGCAAATGAGCTATAAGGGGGCTATTATGCAAACGAGCGGGGCCGTCACCGCCTGCCGCGGGGCTGTGCCCAGGCCCGGCCCCGTTGGCGCAGAGCGGGCGCTGGGCATGGAGGGGGCCGCAGCGGCCGCCCTGCTGCCCGGGGGCTGCCCGCGAGCGCTGCCGCCTCTCCCTGCCCTCCTGTAGCTCGCGGAGCCGCCGGGAGCAGCGGGATCCAGCGCCATGGGCAAGCAGAACAGCAAGCTGCGCCCGGAGATGCTGCAGGACCTGCGCGAGAACACGGAGTTCTCCGAGCTGGAGCTGCAGGGCTGGTACAAGGGCTTCCTCAAGGACTGCCCCAGCGGCATCCTCAACGTGGAGGAGTTCAAGAAGATCTACGCCAACTTCTTCCCCTACGGCGACGCCTCCAAGTTCGCCGAGCACGTCTTCCGCACCTTCGACACCAACGGCGACGGCACCATCGACTTCCGCGAGTTCATCATCGCCCTGAGCGTCACGTCGCGCGGCAAGCTGGAGCAGAAGCTCATGTGGGCCTTCAGCATGTACGACCTGGACGGCAACGGCTACATCAGCCGCGAGGAGATGCTCGAGATCGTGCAGGTACCCGGCCCCGCGGCGCATCCCGAATTCCCCATGCGCCGGGGGGTCGGATCCCCCCGGCTCCGAGTGCCGGTGCCACCTGGAGCCACTGCGCTCCGGGGAGCATCCCACTCTCCGGGGAGCATCCCATGCTCCGGGGAGCATCCCGTGCACCAGGGAGCATCCCACGCTCCGGGGAACATCCCACTCTCCGGGGAGCATCCCACTCTCCGGGGAGCATCCCACTCTCCGGGGAGCATCCCGTGCCCTGGCTCCGCTCATCCCGCCTCCCTCTCCGCAGGCCATCTACAAGATGGTCTCCTCCGTGATGAACATGCCCGAGGATGAATCGACTCCCGAGAAACGGACGGAAAAAATCTTCCGCCAGATGGATACTAATAACGACGGTAAATGAGAGGAGCTGGAGGGGATTAAGGCAAAGGTCTCATGGCTAAATCCCGGGGTTTTAGCGGGGGCCGCGCGCGCTGATTAAATGGCTCGCGGCCGCCGGGGCGGGCAGGGGCAGGAGCCGCGGGCTCGGGGCGGCCGCGGCCACCGCGTCCCCGCTGTTCCCGCAGGGAAGCTGTCGCTGGAGGAGTTCATCCGCGGAGCCAAGAGCGACCCGTCCATCGTGCGCCTGCTGCAGTGCGACCCCAGCGGCGCGGCGCAGCTCTGAGCACCCCGCGCGCCCCGCGCTGCCCCCCGGCCCCGCACGCCCCGCTCCCCCCGGCGCCGCCCGCCACGGAGCAGCGCCCGGCCTCACGCTGTCCCCACAATAAAGCTGGTCCCGGAGCAGCCGCTGGTGGCGAAGGGGCCGTCGATGGGGCCGCCGCGTCCTGGCGCAGGGTCCCCGGCACGGGGCCGCATGGGGCAGGATGAGGAGCGAGGGGATGGGGACGGGGACACCTCTGTGCAGGGGAGGAGCAGGAGGGTGAGCAGGGGGCAGGGGGTGCTGAAGACCCCCACCGAGCGCCAGGGTCTGGAGGGGCAGCGAGGAGCAGTGCGGGGATGGGGGCACCCTGCCCACCCGCAGCCCCTGGGCTGCTCCAGGAGGCCGTGGGTGCCCAGGGCACCCCTGGGACTTGCATAGAGGGTGGGATGGAAGGGGCACCCGTGGGTGGGATGGAAGGGGCGCCCACGGGTGGGATGAAAGGGGTACCCATGGGTGGGATGGAAGGGGCGCCCACGGGTGGGATGGAAGGGGCGCCCACGGGTGGGATGAAAGGGGTACCCATGGGTGGGATGAAAGGGGTACCCATGGGTGGGATGAAAGGGGTACCCATGGGTGGGATGGAAGGGGTGCCCACGGGTGGGATGGAAGGGGCGCCCACAGGTGGGATGAAAGGGGTACCCATGGGTGGGATGGAAGGGGCGCCCACGGGTGGGATGGAAGGGGTACCCACAGGTGGGATGAAAGGGGTACCCATGGGTGGGATGGAAGGGGCACCCATGGGTCACTTGCATGATGACCACATCAGTGCAGGGGCAGCCCCGCGGTTGGGACGTCCCATCCCTGCTGCTGCTCCCGGCAGGCCGCCCTGGCTGGATTCCCTGGGGATGGTCCCCAAGCGCCGGCACCGTCGGAACAGGGTGGCCCGGGGCTTTGGGGAGCCGCTGGGCGAGAGGGCAGGAGGGCGCCAGGGCAGCTCTGCGCAGGAGCCTCCCGCGAGGAAGCGTCGCCCTTGGGGACCCCGGTCCCCATTCCCCTCTTAGTGCCGTCCCAGGAGCCTTCAGCCCCACGAGGAGGGAGCCCTGGCCGTGCCTGAGCCCTCTGCCCCGTGTCCATCCTGTGTCCCCGCATCCTGCAGCACCCGCGTCCATCTCGTGTCCCTGCATCCCACAGCGCCTGCATCTGTCTCATGTCCCTGCATTGCGCAGTGCCTGCGTGCGTCTCGTGTCCTCGCATCCGTCTTGCATCCCCGCATCCCGCAGCGCCCGCGTCCATCTCGTGTCCCTGCATCCCACAGCGCCCGCGGCCATCTCGCGTCCCTGCATCCCACATCCCCTGCGCTGGGGCCAGCCCAACGGGGCTGCGCGGGGCTCCGAGGAGCCTCCTCAGCTGCCAGGGCAGAGGGGAAGGGAGAAGGGCCCGGACTCCATGCGGTGGGCAGAGCCGCCCAGCACCGTCCCCTGCATGTGTAGGAGCCCCTTTCCCTGCTGCCCGGCCCAGCCCAGCCCTGGGGACCCTTCCTCCCTGCGGGACCTCCCCGCAGAGCGAGGCTCTCTGCAATAACGGGGCGGTCGGGGCTGCTCTGGGCTCCCTCGGGCAGGGCTGGCTCCAGCGCCTATCGCCCTGCACCACGGGCCCTGGCTCAGGGCGAGGGCTCAAAGCCTTTACAGTCCCCGGCCCCGATGTCCCCATGCGGGTCCCCAGCGCCTGGGGACCCACGTCCTTCCTCTCCTTTGAACCATCCTCCTGCACAGGGCGGTGCGAGAGGAGCTGTCCCCGATGCCGAGGGGACAGCAGGGCTGTCACATCCCGATTTCTGCAGGCAAAAGAGGGGACAAATCCAGTTCTCCTGTGCAAACACCCCGAGCCAGGAGCAGAATGAGGGAGAGGATTCACCGAACACCACTGGAAAGGACGAGCTCAACACGAGTCGAATGACAACCAGAGTCTTTATTCAAACAGTCCTTGAGGATGTTTGCAGACATACAGACACACGTACATATTTACACTCTGACGCACCTCACAGAGCACTATAGAGCGCTTGAACCAATAAATTAAAACAAAAAGAGGGTGTGGGGGGGACGGTTTTCCTTTTGTCACGTACGAAACAGCAGCTCCCCAAGGCGAGGCTGGGGAGGCAACCGGAGGACTGCAAGCAGAAGGCGACACGGCCACGGCGCCGTCCCGAAAGACGCCCCGGGAGCGAGCGCCGCTCGCGGGAGGCCCCTCATACTCTGGCCTCGATGCACTCCAGTTTGACCATTTCCTCGAGCCGGTAGCCCTCTGCGTGGGCACAGTGGCTCAGGGGGGCACTTGGGCTCTCGGCAGCGCTGGCGCGGGCCGGGCGGCCCGGCGCGGGCGGAGGGCCGGGCGAGCCGCACTCGTCCGATGGGATGTCGGGCACGTCATCCGACTGGCTGTCCGAGCTCTCCAGGTCGCTCCGTATGCTCTCGGGCTGGGCCAGGGTGATGTCCCACGTTTGGCTGGCAAGGCAGTCCTTTGGCTCGCAGCTTTGGTGTTTGCACGTCTGCTCCCGCTCGCCATCCTCTTCCTCCTCATCCTCCTCCTCCTCGTCCTCTTCCTCATTCTCTGCCATTTGGGTGTGGACGTGCAGAGAATCCTCCGTGCTGCTGCCGCTGGCCAGCTGGTAGTGACTTGGTTTGGCTTCGATGTCCACCTGGATCTCCATGTTATTGCACTCCCTGCAGGAACAGGCAGCACCAGCTGCAGTTACATGCGGATGCTGCTTCCAAGCAGTCCCAGCCCTCGTTCCGCGTGACCAAACGGATCATTCCACCCTCTAGGGACATGGAGCAGGCTGGGACCTACAGCCATCTCGCCACCTCCAGCAGCAGCTCCTGGGGCTTCGAGTTCCCCGGGATTTCCACCAGTCTCCTCCTCTCCCCTCATGTCCTACCTGTCCTGGGGGTTGTAGGAGCTGATGATGGAGCCGGCCATGGCTCGAGTGCTGGCGTTGTCGCTGATAGCCCCCAAGCTAACAGAGTCTTTGGGGAAAATCTCCTTCTGGACATCTGCCTGCACTTCCAGCCTGCAGGAGAGAAGAGAATTGCTCAGAAATTACTTAGCTGGTCCCTGAGGGCATCAAACAATCTCTGTTTGCCCTGGGAAACCAGGTGTCCCCGTGTGCTGGCCCAGCTTGGCACCAAGGACTTTATCTCCACTGGTTTAGTTTCATTTAGTCTCAGTCTTGGCTCCTCTTAGGTAAATCCATTCTGTTTTCCATGACGAAGGTGAAGTTGTGTTTATAACTATGACTCATGCAATTCCTGCGAAGAACAGATTTCCATGGATCTAGCCCAGAGTGCTGATTACATCCTGGCTGCTGGATCAACACGTGTCTCTCATTACCCAGCAGACTGACTCACAGGAAAGCTGTGGTGTAACCTCCTGGCTTGGAAAGCAGCAATCCCGCCTGCTGCAAGCCAATAGGGAAGAGGCAGCACCAGGCTGGGATCAGAGGACTGGAAGATCCAAGGCAAGCACGCAGGAATTGCTCTGGGCTATTCCCAGTTAACCCGGAGCGCCGGCTTCTCCCTTTCAAGTTCAGCAGAAACTTGTTCACCAGCTGTGTCCTCTTTGCAAACAGCAGCCTAACACTGCCCCCAGGACTCCCCCACAAAGCCAGAAGTGAAAACCCTGGCCTAGGACTCCTGGGCACACAGAAGGGCACCCACATGTCCATACGGATCCCAAAGGCAGCCTGTGGGGACTCTCCACCCTCGTGGTGACCGTGAGCTCAGTTACCTGCTGTACTTGCCCTTGCCCCCGGAGAGGACGCCGCCGCTCAGGGTGCCGCCGGAGAGGGCAGCAAAGCTGGCCGTCTCGCTGTAGTTGCCCGGCGCGACGCTGAGCCCGTCGGTGGGGCTGCCGCTGGTGCTCAGCACGCTCGTCAGCCCCTCGATGCTGCTCTCACCGATGCTGGGGTTCTTCAGGGCTCGCCAGGCATCAGCCACTGAGGAGAGGAACAGCGAGGCCGTCAGAGGAGCCGTTGGGCTGTGGTGGCACCGGCAGAGCTGCAGACCAGACCCTCAGCAGCGCGAGCCTCATCTCAGATACCAGAGGCCAAAGGAAGAACTGAGATTTTGCTACCAGAGCTACACAGCTGATCACCAGCACAAGGCTGAAGTGAATCCCTGCTTCTAGCCAAACCCAGGTGAAAACTAACGAAACAGATGTTGGATTTGGGAAACACAAGTCTCCTACCATTTCATTATGTGAAGCAATGACAAGGTGGTGCTTTAACCCCTTCCCTTCAGCAGCTACCACATTACCTGTGATAGGTCCATCGTCTTCATCAAACTCTATCTTCACGCCCTTGCCGTTGGCTGTGCTAACTCCGCAGCCACCACCCCGGCACAGCGAGATGGGCACAACTCCATACACGTAAGCCAGCATGATGGGGACTCCAATACCTGGAGAAGAGGATGCCCTGAGGTAAGAGGAGCTAAGGCTGAGCTGTGTTGGCCAGGCAGAGAGGACCTCTGCTCTGGACAAGCCTTTGAATGCGCCAGGCCCATCCTAGCACACACAGCTGTGCAGCCTGCACGGAAGAAAGGAAGTTCCATGGAAATGGAAGTAAGTTCCAGGAAAAGAGACAGGAGAAACCTACAAATTCCCCTTGGCGACCCCTCACAGAGCCCAGCTAGTCATTTGTCTGCGACTACTGGCCCATGGAAGGGAGAACAACAGCACCAACTCACCGACACTGACCGCAGCAATGACGGGGGACGCAATGACAGATAAGGTGACCCCACCGGTAATGGCCAAGTTCCTCTTGTGCTTGGATGTCTTCTTTCCCTCATACCTACTGTGGATCTAAGGGAAGGAGAAGCAGCACGTGAGAACACAGCCTGGCCAGGAACAAACCCCAGCAGATCAACATCTAAACACATCAGGGACTTGTGCTAGGCAAGGTGTCATATCCAGGATCTGGCCATGACCCCAGGGATGTCAAAAGGGGCCAGGACTCACCCTGGGTGCTTCTGCTCCACATCAGGAAAATGATATTCATTTGAGAGGACTGCAGTCTGAAGGGCTATCAGCCACCACCTTCCCTCTCCCCATACAAAGCTCAAGAGATAAGACAAGCTCCATAAGAGATGACTGAATTTGAGTGTTATGAAATGACCCACCCTTCATATCACACCTAAATTTCCAGGCAGAGGCTCTGACTATGGAGAACACCCCAAGCTGCACACTTCCCACTTCCAATCTTGCACTCTCCACACTTACCTTCCTCCCAACATACACCGGGATGCCAATGACCATAGCGGGAATGGCAATGCCAGCAATGAGAGAGATTCCCACGGGAGCGCCGATCAACGTGCCCAGCTGCCAGAGAATCTTCTTTTTACGGCTCCATGGCTTTTTGCCCCAGAACGTACAGCCAGAGGGGCTGTAATGGGAGGAAAAAAGTTAGCAACACACAGAACGCCCCAAATCCTAAGTGTTCCCAAGAACTGCAAGTTGAACATCCACATGAACAAACCCAAAACTTACGAAATGGGTAAGCAACACACACAAAAAAGCCCCTCTTCCTCTCCACCAAGATTAATTTGCTCATCAAGGTCATTATCACAAGCCTGGGACTGTGTTTGATGCCCCAAATGTTAGGTGTTTCCACATACAACTGTTTTTTCCAGTCAACTGAGCCTTTCCTGGCATGGAAGAGCCTCTTTATTGCAGGAAGAAAGCTCAAATCTGTAGGAAGGAAGAAGCCAGTTCTGCTGTCTGGCTCTGGAGAGGCAAAGGGCTGAAAGGCAAGCGCATGCAATTCAACACCCCTTTGGGGAAGCGGGTGCTAGCGCAGCGACAGGACCCGCTGTGTGTGGCTCCCCTTCCCACCTGAGGTAATGCAGGTCCGAGATCTCCTTCATGCACAGCCAGCAGAACTCGCAGCCGCACACGGCGCAGGTCATGTGGTTGCAGCTGCCGTCGTTCATCTTGATGATGTAGGCGCTGCAGCGGGGACACGGCTTGATGTCGTCGGCTGCGGGAAGGAGGGAAACAAGGCACTGAGTTGGGCTCTGGGGTAGCAATAACCAGGGAGGGGGTTCTCATCACAGCGAGAAGCCCTCGTGTTCTGCAAAGGCTGAGCAGATTTGCTACTCAAACACATGCTGGGGATGGACACCCGTTCTGTCTTCAGTTCCTCTACGGAGCACGAAGACAGTATTGAAAAGCCAGAGCTATTTGCCTGGACAGCAGAGACTGAGAACAACAGTCATTTCAGAAGCTTATTCTAGGCTGGAATAGGATCTCTTCCAGAACATGCTTAAACCTTGGGAACAAGTTATACCTGTCCTGAGCTCACCAAGGCAACAGTGTCAGCAAGAACCATTACGAAATGGCTCCACTAAGGTGATTCATGGACCAGGGCGGGCAGAGCAACTGGCAGAACCAGGCAGCAGGGCTCTGAGCCGGGCTCAAAGGCAGCCTGCAGCAGGGGGACAAGTCCAAAGGAGAGCAGGGACAAGGCCCTGCTGCACGTGCTTGGAGTCCCCTCTTGGCTACTGGCAGAAGAGGAGGAGAAAGGGTCCTTCATCTCTTCTTGAACTCAAGTGTCATCTGCTCACGGTTACGCAATGCCCGGCTGTGCCGCTCCGGCTTTGTTGGCAGCGCCTGTAGCCCTCAACAATGTGAAATCCAGCTGCTGAGAGAGCAGCTCGCACCTTATTAATCATTGCAGCGCATTCAGCGAGCAGGGAAAAAAACACTCTCAAGAAGCGCCCTTTCAGTGGCCAAGCTCTAAGCACTTCCTGGCAGGGATCTCTTTGGACGGGGTGGAAGGCTCAGACTGCTTTTTTGTTTGCTCGTTTGCAGCACAGCTGGTGGCAGTGTCTCTGCTGCCTTGGCCTGTCCTGATAATGGACACGGTGAACCTTGGAGCACAGCTGAGCTACCTTTGAACCACTCGTAGTAGCTGCATATTAATGTTTTACTCCCTGATGTGCTCGGAGAAGGAATAATGTGTTTTATTTAGGGGTGGGGAGGGCTAAAAGCGCGTATTTTTTGCAAGGTTTAGATCAGCAAGAAATGAAAACATCTGAGATCAAAACAGCCACAAGCATAGCTGGGGCGGATGAGAAGAGAGCGAGTGCTGAGAAAGGACCCAAGCGCGTGGCGTCACCTCCGACTGCTCTGCTTCGCTCTCCGCTGTCTCGTGGGAGCCGCCACATTTGTTCCCTTAATGCGAGAAGGGGAAGTGACTCTCAGCTTCGCAGCTGCTGTCACTGCTGCTGCTGGAGACCCTCACGGGCGCCAAGGGGCAGCGCTCCCCGCAGGCCACTGACACCCCTCCTTTGATCGTGGGAAGCTCTGCACGAGCAGGGGCTTTTTTCCTCAGCTTCCCAGGCAGCACCGAGTAAGCAGAAAGGCGGCAGTCCCTACCCGGCCCGGATTCCTGCCCGTAACTGAGGCCTGACGTGTGCTTGGTCCGGACGCGGAGCGCCTGGGCCCGCTGCTGGCGGGCCATGTCGCACGTCTGGTTGGGGTGCCATATCTGCTTGCAGTGGTAGCAGAACTCGGTCTGGCAGCCGTCCCTCTCGCAGGTCAGCTTGGGGCAGCTGGCACAGCCGTAGGCGATAACGGCGTAGCTGTGGGAAGAAGACACCTCGAGTTAGCAAAAGCCCCAGAGTTATCTTAGGAAGAACACAGCTCTCCACAGGAGGGTGATGATCAGCTGGCAGTACCACCAGGAGCCACTGATGGGCACTGCACGGTGCTGATGTCCTTAGCAAAGCAGCTGCCCGTGACAAGAGCCCTGCCACCCACCTTGGCAGAGCCTCTGGCACTGGATTGCTTCCAGTGCAAGACCACAACTTCTCTGGCCTCTTGGGCAACCCTGCAGGGGAATTGCAAGAGACACAAACAGAAATGCAGCTCTTCTCTGCAGTCGCAGGTGAGAACAAGGTTATTGCATCTGCCTAGAGCTAGCAAGCAAGGTTATCACCTCCTGAGCTGCTCTGTTCAAGGCTCCTGAATGGAGTTTCACAGGCTAAGGAGGATGAAACTCGCTTTTACCACCTGGAAAATGCAGAATATGGTTGTTGGGAGCAGGGCAGCCTGAGCAGCCTGCCCTGCCTCTTCCGTTTCCCATTTCTCATCCCTGTCCCTAGGGCAGCCTGTGCTCTGGATAAATTTTTGCCTTCTCCAGCGCTGTGTCTTTCACTGCAGGGCTCAAAATTAAGCAGTGCTAATTAAGTTCCTCAGGACTGATATCCTTTACAGCGGCAGCTCATGATATTGAATTCCCCCCTGAGTAACTACTGGGAGTTGTCGCTGTCGGCTCACACAGAGCACATTCATCTCACCCGTTTGCCACCCGGCTCGGGCTCTCCCTGGCACCGGGAGCCAGGGCACACGCAGAGCAGGTCCCGAGCAAATCCAGCTCTCTGGAATGATGAAATCTAGCCACAGAGGCCAAGGAAAGCTGTAGTGGGGCCGGGTTTCGGCGGGCTGCGTGGCCAGTCTGCCGAGCTGGCTCTTTCTGCTCACTCCGGTGTGTCTCGGTGAGGAAGGGGACACCGCAGCGCGGGCAGCGTCACCCAGGGCGCCTCTCAGCAAGCTGCCCTGCAACGGGACCTTCCATGGTGGCTGGAGAGAGCAATTCCAGAAGCACCTTCTGCTTCCGACACCACAACAACAAAAGGTGTTTTTGTGGATCGCCTCCGGTGTCGTGGCGGGTTGGAGGAGTTACTCTCCTCCGAGCTGAGGTTGTGTGTTTAGAGCTCGGGGAGCTCTGGTTGCGCTGCCTCTCCTCGGAGGCGGCAGCGTGAGAACCGCTGAGTGTGTCACACCACGATGATTCACATCCCGTGGGAGTGGGAGCAAGTTCGCCCTGCCTGGCACAGCCGCCGCGGGAGCAGCGTGCCGGTGCCGAGCGGCACGGCCGTGGGGGCTCCAGCGCCCGCCCGCTCCTCGCATGGGAAGCAGGGCTGGAGGGGAAACAGGACACTGAGATCCCGGGAAGGGCCAGACCTGACCCCGAGCGGCTCCTACACATCGTGTGCAGTGAAGATCCAGCCGGGCATCCCCACCGCAGCCCCGGCCTTGGCAAAAGCAGCTTCACCTTTTATGCCACAAACTCTACTAAGTCAGGAAAGTTTAGCAGAACATATTAAGCAACTTCATGTTTGGAATGAGCCCTCAACAGAGACTTTTGTTTTTTTTTTTGTTTTTTTTTTTTTTTTTCCTAGCAAATTCAGGCAACTCTTCTGAGAAATTAATATCCTCAACATTTCTGTTTAATTTTTGGAGCCAACGTGACAAATACCAAGAGCAAGCCCACAACTGCACGGAAAAATCTACACGCCTTTCCACTCTAAGGGGAAGAAACAACATATCTCCGAATTGAAAAGCCTTCCTCGGGTGCCGTGCCTGGAATTGCCAAAGTTCACAGGCGCCTGCATCTTCCCCCGGCCTCCTGGCTCGCATCAGCTGAGACAAAAAGGGAAATTGTGCCTTTTCCCTGATCAGTGATGGCCAGGATCATCCTTCCCAGACCCTGGCGAGGCCAAGGAGGCAGCGACGCCGGCGCTCCCTGCTTGGGCAGCCTTCAGCCTCCTCCGTCTGCTGAGCTCAGCCTACACCACGCGCTTTGTTTGAGGCTCCCGTTGTTCTCCCAAGCCTCTCGGGGAGCCGCGGTGTGACACACAACAGGCAGCAACATCAGCTGATTGTAGCAAGGGGAAAAAAAGAAAACCAAAAAGCCCCAAACACGGCAAATGATTCATGGGAGGACTGAGGGTGCATCAATTGCCTGGTGCTTCCATGGCAACGCGCGCGGAGCCGGTTCTCCTGCCGCGCTGCACGGTGGAGCTCTCCCGTCGGGAAAGGCTGCGGTGCCTGTGGAGGGCTCCATGGTGCCGACCCAACGCCTTGGATCCAGCGCTCGGATCGCGGAGTACCAGCCCACTTGGGCCTCTCCCGCCATCCCGGAGGGAAAGTGCGCCGTAAATAATTCACAGCCCGGTTGTGCTGCACATAAGCACAACCAGAGGAGAAGGAGAAGCAGAAGCAGGGAGAAGGAGAGGGGAGATTCATTTCTCATGCTGCCAGAGGGCTGGTTCCAGCGGCCTTTGTCCGGGTGCCGTTGTGGTGCCGGAGCAGCCGCTTCCCAACAGCCTAGAGTGCTCCATGCTCCTCCTAGGGATGCCCAACGTGGCTCTCTGGAGCTGCCCAGGGAGCTGCACGGAGTGCTGTAGGTGACACTGCTCTGCCCAAAGGCACCGAGGTGGCAGCAGCAGCTTCATGCTGGATCACTCACAAGGAGGCGGCTCCTCCGAGGCAGGGGCGCTCGGTGGCATTCACACCTTACCCTGCACACGGGCTCACAGAGCGGCACCGAGGAGCAGAAACAGCAGAAACCCAAGGCAGCAGCCAGGTCTTCAGCAGCTGATTAACGGAGCAGAAAACGGAGGCGTTCCCTCCGGCATGGCTCCGGCTCTGGGGGCAGCAGAGCCTGCCCTATCTCCCTGATCTTGGCCCCGGCACTATCAAAACATCAAGATCTGGCACGTGATTTTGTTTCACAGACTAACAGAGCTGTTGTTTTGTTCCCTATTAACGAAATGGCCCTTCTGCAGCGGCGCTCAGGGGCTGCGAAACAGGAGAGCAGAGGCAGGTTAGCAGCTCTGCAGAGCTGCCTATTGCCCTGCTCTGATTAAACCCCCAGCCTCCTCCCACGGCGCTTTCCACTCCGACTGCGAGGCTCGACTTTCTTTCAGCATTTGCGCTCGCCAGAGCTGCAATTTAAGCTTTTTTTCTCTGCACATCACTGAACTTTTTGGCCCTGTCCCCTTTTCCACACTGTCCCTGTGCCACATGCTCCAGGTGTCCCTGCTGGAGCAGGGGGGGTTGGACTAGAGGATCTCTAGAGGTCCCTTCCAACCTCAACCATTCCGGCATTCTGGGATTCCAAGCAGCTTTTTCTCGTGCACAAAGCGAAACCCAGCAGAGCTCAGTTAGGGGAAAGGAGAACAGAAAACGAAACAAAGCGCAGATAACTATAGAGGCGTCAGACAGGGCTGGACCCGCTCCGGAGCGGACAGACGTTAACTCGCTTAGGCAACAGACACTGAGTCAACACCGCTCCTCGGGGCCGGGGATTCACTGGGGAAAAGCCCCCGCTTCCCCTTCTCAGCCCATGGGGGCAGCCCCAAGGCGGGCAGCGCTGGGCGGGAGCCCCAAGGCGGGCGCCGGGGGGGCTCCATCACCCCCCCCCCAGCCCCGGTGCCCCGGGGGACGCGGGCGGGGGGCGCTCGGTTGGGTCCCGCCGCGCGGCCCGGGACTCACCCGCAGTCGGGCGCGGGGCACCAGCGGCAGTCGGGGTCGGCGGCGAGGCAGCGGCGCAGCATGAACTCCTCGTACTTGGCGACGAGCTGCGGCGAGTCGCGGAGCAGGCGGCGGATGTCGGCGGGGTTGAGGCGCTCGCTGCACTCGGGGCAGCAGATGTTGACGCGCGACTCGGTGATCTCGATGCGCAGGTACTGGCGCAGGCAGGCGCCGCACGAGCGGTGCGGGCACGAGAGCAGCCGCGGCGCGTTCTCGGCCGGCTGCCGCACCAGGCACAGCGGGCACTCGAGCTCCTCCTCGCCGC